TGCTTTTTGGCTTTTTTTTTTTTTTTTTTTTTAGCATTCTGACATACATTTTCGATTTCTTTATATGATCTGTTCCAAACTTTTTGTTAGTAGGTTGGGCTGGGCCAGAGGAAAGTGAGCCCAAGTACACCGACATGAGCCACCATGAAAATGAAATGCATGACAAACCAAACATAAAAGTCATAACATAAAACGCGTGGAAACAGAAACAGAAACAGAACATAAATTTCTTCCTCTTGCATTGCATTAGTCCAAAGTCAAAGTTGCAACTTGCAACCAAAACTCACCTAACCCACCATTCCTCCAACCTCATCCTCTTCCTCTTCCTCTTCCTCTTCCATTCCCATGTTTCTTTGAAGCTTTCTCTCTAACATGGGGCTTCACTACAGAAAGTTGTTATCATTTGTAAAGTGTGGAATAACATGTACCCCTACTGAGCAAGAGAAATCATCATGTCTCTGTGCTCCACCTTTATCCCCTCCATATGATGATGAACTGCCCCAACCTCCACCTATACACACCAAAGCCAAAACCCCCACCTACTTGATCATCATCTTTTCCTTTGTAGCCACCGCTTTCATCGTCCTTTGCTGCTACGCCATCTACGTTAAGTTCTTTAGATCAAGGAGGACAAGTACAACAACCTCATCACAACCACAACCACAACAGGAAGAAGAACAAGACTTGTTTGACGAAGAACAGCAACACGTTGACCACCCCATATGGTACATCCGCACCACCGGTCTCCACCAATCACTAATCTCTGCCATCACCGTTTGCAAGTACAAGAAAGACGAAGGCTTGATCGAAGGCACCGAGTGTGCCGTTTGCTTGAGCGAGTTTCAAGAGGATGAAAGTCTCAGGCTTTTGCCAAAGTGCAACCACGCTTTTCACTTGCCTTGCATTGACACGTGGCTCACTTCGCACACCAATTGCCCCATGTGTCGTGCACCCATTGTTACTGACCCCACAAGGGTTCCCTCCATGGACCCTAGTGCCTTTGCTTCCACTTCTTTTGTGGAGGAGATAGAGGTTTCGGAAAGTACTGAAAATAGTGCTGATTTGTTGAGGAATGAGGAACAAGAGGGAGTGGAAGAAGCTCAAGTGCTTGAAACTAGTGAGGTTGTAACTGTGCAGCCAAGAAGATCGGTGTCTCTGGATTCTTCTTCTGCTGCTAAGATCAACCTTGCTCTTGCAACTGTTACTTCAGGGGAATCTCATGGGAATAACTCAAAGAGGGTTGCAAAAGGTGGTTGTGGTTCTTCTTCCACTAGTTCGGTGAAGAGGTCACGATCCTTCAATGCTAAACACTTGGTATCATGGTATGGTCGCAGTCAGAGAAAGACAAATCCAAATGCAAATGCTCCTTTGAGAAGCTTCTGATTAGTTGGTTTGGTTCTCTTGGCTCAGGTAAGTTCCTGCAAACTAGAGTGTGTTTGTTTTTAACTCTCAACAAGGTGAGGGTTCCAACTTTGAAGGGTATGTGTGTGAGTGAAATAGTCAAATAGGTCATGCCATGATCAAATGTATGGTAGCAATGCAAAGCAAAAGGTCTTGAATGAAATGAATTGAAGGTTGTTATCATTCCTTGCCAATTGCCATGGTTGCCTCATATCGTACCACATGTCATGTATGTTCTGGATTTTTAGTGGCAACCTTTGAACTTCGAATTTATGTACACCTTTTTCGCATCCAACGTGATGCATCGTGCTGATGTTAAATTCAGGGCATGTCAATTTAGTCGATTTATGTATAATAGCATATGAAATATTGTTTGCATAATCGATAAACAGAAGCAGAAAAGGCGAGAGAAAAAACATAACGGATGCTGCTGCTCAATTTGGAATTATCCATAGGAAATATTGTGGAAAATTTTATCGACTATAACACACTCTAATTGGATACAAGTTTAGAAGATAGTTTTAGAACTTATTTATCAGAAAATATTCTTTATTTTCGGTTGAGAAATTATCAAAAACACTTCTAATAATTTATATTCAAAGAGTCTCTTATTAGACTTGGACAAGATTCCTTTCCCCGGAAGATAACTTGGATGTTGAAAGAAAAAATGATTGTTGTCCCGGAACGGTGTTGCTCTAAAAAGCTTTTGATTGTTCCATGTTGTCAGGTAGACTTATCTGATGCTGAAGTACAAATTATTTAATAACGAAAACTAAACCAGCAAACAGAATGCAGATTCCTTTTGGAATTTGGTTGTTTATGATATATTTGCAATAGGTTTTAAATTGAGGTCATAACTGCATTTATGGCTGCAATATCATGGTTTCATATGTCTCTGCTTTTGCCCAGTTATCCGCAATATTAAGATTTTGGAGGTCTTTAAGACTCTGTTCATGTTTGGATTAAAATTTGTAACTAAAGTTGAACTGCATTTTGCAAACTGAATTTGAAAAACAACATTCCCTTTCTTTCCATTTCAATAGGAGTTTCCAGATAAAATTAGGGCAAAATTCAGTATGTGTTTGGATTCGTGTTGGTGATCCATGTTTTAACAATTTTTTAGCACCAAAAGTAACAAATAGTTACTTATTCACGTTTGAGGTTTGTGGATGAAAATCCAAATACGCACTCAGTTTACAAATGGTATTCAACTAAAAATCAAATGAGGCTTTTTCAGTTTGGTTTTTTGAATGTACCTCAAGGTTTCCAACTGAGTTTGCTTACAGACCTTGGCACTGTGATGTAATATTTGTTGGAGGGGAGGCAAAAGCAAAACTGATCAAGTGTTCCTCTTTCTTGATAATTAGAATATAAAATAAAGATTTTGGCCATCAGACTTAGGCAATCACCCCTTTGCATGTACCATGTATGTGCTACCTATTTTTAATCTTTTGCATTCGATGTTCTCTACTTAATTTTGCATGTGAAAATATAGATTTCATTATGAAGAAGATTTCAGAAATTCAAATTCACAGCCCTAGCTCGTTACTAAAATGTTGTCCCTGGGCTTGAAAGTTGCACATACGTGATTCCAATAATTTGTCACATTGCAACATTTTTTAAGAGCTCTTGAAGAAATGAATTATAACAATTGGTCATGTATAAAGCTACAAGCCAACACCAGTAAACAGAAGTAGGATAAGCACCCTCTGGGTCTGATGGACGTAGCTTGTCTTAAAGTTAGAACAAAAGAAACCATCTTGAAACCAAAACAAATTATGGATCCAGAATATGCATATTTCAGTATTTGCAACAGTAATTCTGGCACTATTCTTATTAAAAATCTGGTTTATTGCGACTAAATTTCGTAGGTACCGTTGAACACACGTCAGATTCTTATCCCCATTCGCTATTCAACATAAAATCTTCCATTTGGACATTTCGTCGAACAACTTCCAGATAATGGGGAAATTGCTCAACCCTTGAGAAATTATGTTATTTTATTTGTGACTTATACTTTTCAATAAATTATATTATGTCAAGGTATCAATGATATATTTTCTTTTCAAAAAATACATATACTTAGCTGTTTAATAATCAGTTGCTTTCTCTCTACATGTACTTCGCAATTGTTTCATTCTTCGACGATAATGGAATCTAATATATACTTTTTAAAGATTAAAATATCATTATCCTGATTTTTCATAGGTATTTTTATTCTTTTATGTAAATAATAATAGTTAATACTTTTCTGTTCCATTTTATTTCACGTTCAAAACTTTGACAAGAAATATGATTAGTATGTCTGATTTCTTAAAATAAATTACGTAAATTTTCAATATTCACTTTAATCTTTTGGATTCTACTTATAATTAAAAAAATTTAATAATTATTAAAAAAACATTTAATATTATATTCACATCGTAAAACGACAACTAAATTAAAGCATATAAAAAATACTAAAATGTTGAATAAAATGAAACAGATGGAGTGCCGGTTAGATCCTTCAATTTTATTTTATTTTTCTCCTAACTTTTCATATATCAATAATATATTTTCATTCTACCCGGTCAATTCAACAATCAAAAGCAGAACCAACCTTAAAGAAATTAAAGTATAATTTATTAAATAAAATAGAGGGCCAAAATATGTCTTTTTATAAAAAAAAAAATATTGTTTAATATGGTAAAATAAATATAACAATATCAATTTTTATCTATACATCTAATCAAGTTTGACATATTTACCCTTTAACTGTTAAAAATTATACATAGTTCATTTCACTTTCCACTTTTATATCTGTTTTTTATAAACCAACTTGTCCTCTTTAGCCTCTTCTAAGTTCCATGCAGTCTAACTTGTGACGTACGTGATAGTTATGCAACAAATGCACAGATGAACAGTGGCTAACTTAATGTTGGACACGTTTCAGTCTTTGAGATAAGCATGAACCGAGTGAAGAAAATAACACATAAGAAAGAAGCCTCATTGGTTCACTTCAACTTGTTGGTCACTTCACCCTCTCTTCATTATTATCAAATTCCTCTAATATGGCTTCAACCGCTCCTCATGAACATAGCCAAGTACAATCCAACAACAAAACGAGTTTCACAAGCGTGAAATCACTCACCGAATCACCAGAACTCACTTCCCTCCCACCCTCATACATCTTCACCACCAACTCAGATGAAGAAGATCATGAAATAGTATCAGAGCCAGATAAAGATGATCCAATCCCCATCATTGACTATTCCCTCTTGGTTCTTGGCACACCTCATGAACGTGCCAAGACCATCCATGACTTGGGCAGGGCTTGTGAGGAGTGGGGGTTCTTCATGCTCATCAATCACTCAGTGGCAAAGAGCGTCATGGAGAAAATGGTTGATCAAGTTTTTGCTTTCTTCAATCTTAGAGAGGAGGAGAAGCAAGAGTATGCAAGTAAGGATGTGATGGACCCTATAAGGTATGGCACAAGCTCCAATGTTTCAATGGACAAAGTCTTGTTCTGGAGGGATTTCCTTAAAATCGTGGTGCATCCAGAGTTTCACTCACCTGATAAACCACTAGGCTTCAGGTTTTACCTCATTCTCTTCCTCTTGTAGCTAAAAATTAAGGCCCGTCGGAGATCTAGTTAAAATATTATAGATATAATTAAAATAATAGGTAGTCACTAACATGTATTCTTGGACCAAATGATACCTAACTAGTCTTTACTTTGACATATAATCGAATATAATTCACTTCTTTTGTAATTTAAAAAACTTGAATGTGTGATTGGTTGAGAATATGAACACTTGGACTAACTAATGATTTTTGGTTGAAGGCATGGAGAAAGTGTGCTATACTACTAAGCACAACTGTATTACATCAGGACAAGATATTCATATTCTGTATGCAAAATTTAACATGTTTTGTTGTTGAAGGGAGGCAGCAGCAGAGTACTGTAGAAGAACCTGGAAAGTGGGAAAGGAACTGCTGAAAGGAATATCAGAAAACTTGGGATTGGAAGCCAATTACATAGAGAATACAATGAACCTAGATTATGGTTTGCAAATGATAGCAGCAAATCTATATCCACCTTGTCCACAACCTGAGCTTGCAATGGGAATACCCCCACATTCTGATCACGGCCTCTTGAACATCCTCATGCAGAACGGGGTTAGTGGCCTTCAAGTGCTTCACAATGGCAAGTGGATCAACGTCACTTCTACTCCAAACTGTTTCTTACTCTTTGTATCTGATCACCTTGAGGTACATGCACATAAACAAACCCTAATCACTGAATTTAATGATCATACATTATCGGTGTAATTTACATAGTCAATCAATAAAATATCATTATTGATATAACTTTAATTGAAGTTAATTCTTATAAAAGTTAATAAACTCGCCATACATCATGCATAGTAAATTTGTGATTGGATGACATAAAACATGTTTTGGAAACTCTTTAGGCAAGGTGTTCACATGGATAAGTAGAAGTAACAATTAGTTATTTTTGCATCAGTTTTGATGCGATTCTTAAAACGTAGATAATGGATATGGAACCAAAAATGTACTTAGTCTCTTTTTTCTCATTTTATTTTGTTTATTTTATAGCTAACAGTGATTTTGATTATGCGAGCTTTTACCCTTTTGTTTTTGCAATAGGTTGTGAGCAATGGCAAGTACAAGAGTGTATTACATCGAGCAGTTGTGAGCAACAAAGCTACGAGAATGTCCCTGGCAATAGTAATTGCACCATCCTTGGACACTGTGGTTGAACCAGCTAAAGAGTTGCTAGACGATGAAAGAAATCCAGCAGCGTACGTTGGGATGAAACATAGAGACTACATGCAACTTCAGCGAAGCAACCGGCTTGATGGGAAATCTGTGCTAGACAAAGTTAAAATCTGAATTTGAATCATATCAAGTGATAGGTTCAAAAGTTTAAGTTTGGGACAAATGTTTTGTAAAGTACAATAAGCTAGCCAACAAGGGATTTTGGTTTTCTACGATGAATCAGATGAGAAGGACACCATCATTTGATTTCACATTCACAAACTAGACAAATTCAACTTCTTGCGTAGCATTTACCATATGCGATTAATTTTACCATTTTAATAAAATCAAAATATATCACTTTCTTTTTTATGGGTCTTGCTCTGTTTTATATTTACAATGCACTAAATATAAAATAAAACAACAAAAATTACATGTTATGGTTCTACTTATTGTAAGCCATTTTATATTTTAATTAAATAAGCATATTACGTTTGCATGGGAATAATTACGACCATTACATCTTGAGAAAATGTAAAAGTTGTATACATTATGATAAATGTTAAATTGTGTAGTTGTTAGATGATGTTATGATAAGTTGTTCCGTAATCCATATTTATTGGCCTAACTTATGAAGAATGAACTATAGCCTCTTTTTGTCTGGCTTAGTAATTTTTACATTAGAGCATGAGAAACTTGTTGTATAGTGAACGAAGTTTTATATGTTCCTGAAAAACCGAGTGTCCCAACACTTAACTAAAGCAAATTGGATTGGACTCAAGTGTGGCATCTAAATGATTGATTGTGTTTTTGTCTCATCTCCTTTTTTTTTTACCCTTAATTTTCTATCATGTATATCACATCTCTTAAGGAAATCAAGTTTTGCTCACCCTTATTTCTTCCACTCATTTCCCACCCCTTAAGGAAATTCTACTCGAGTGCTTGCGAGTCACTCATCGCATATATCAGAAGAATTTCGAAACATTTTTTTTAGTCTATATAGCTTGTTTGTATGAATAGTATCTCCATTCATGCCATAAATGCAACCTTGAATTTCATAAAAACTCTTTCATTTACTAGGAAACCACATTGGTTTCATGAGCCCAACTGAATGCTCATAAAGTTTCAAGGTTATCCACCATATAATGTGCAGGATCTTCGGCAAGACTAACATATTAAATATGAATGTAACATAAGACAGGACGATAGGGTGTATCAATACATTACGCAGTATATAACTTTAGAACAAGATATTACTCCCTCTGTTCTTAAAAACCCATGTGTCTTCTCCAAAAGTAGATTAAGTACGTCCAATAATGTCATTATTTGTTCAACAAAAATTAAAACTAAAAAAGAAAAAAAAAAGTGTGAAATACAATGGAGAAAATTAGGAAAAAAAAATGTTATATATATAAATTGTTATTCTATATCACATGTCATCATTCATCAATTAGGCCGAATAACATGTTTTTTGGGTTGTTTTATATATAAAGGTTACAACTTACAACCTCCTATGGTTAATCAATTGGCCTTACCTTGTTTCAATCCCTTCTTTTAGTAGCGAAGAACTTGAGAAAGAGATTCAAGTGCGAAGTGTTTATAAGTTTCCTCTCTTGTGCCATTGCTAACATATTTCATTTCATAGCCTATATTACCATGACTACCAAAGCACGTAATGAAATAAACAGATTTAGCTCTCAAAGGTTTATCCTAATCAAACACTATCGAGTTCATTTCACAATTTTCATCTTCATCACTTGTGTCACATTCTTCATTGCATTGCACACTCGATTCTTCCTTCAAACTCCACCACCACAACCATCATCGTGGAGAAGTTCCATCTTCAACACCACCAACGAGCTCAATTCCATGGTCCACATGCTTCGTTCTTCGGTCACGTTTCTTCCACTCAAGGATCTCCGTTATGCTCGTGCACCCCTTGAAGGCCACACATGGTTCATGAGTTCCATGTACGACACACACGAAGATGGTGAGGTCCAATACCAGCAATTCCCATCAGAATCATCGCATGGTAGGCTTCTATGTCTCAAAGGGCGTGACACACATGACGGGTCTTGGAACTCCTATGCTTTGGCATGGTCTCAGGCTTTGCCTTATAACACCACCTTCACGAGAGGTTTAACTTTTGTGTCGTACAACCATTACAACTATGATAATTTGTGGCATGGTTTATCCTCTATGGTCCCATTTGTGGCGTGGCATAAGATGAACAATTGCTCCATGTTGCCCTCAAGGTGGGTCTTGTATCATTGGGGTGAGCTCAGGTTCAAGATGGGCCTGTGGGTTGGCACCTTGATGGAGGCCACGTTTAATGGGCCACAAATTGTTGAAAGGTTTGATGGAGTTGATGAAGATGGGCCAGTGCTTTGAGGAGGCTGTGGTTATGAGGCACAATGAGGGTCGCATGTCAAGGGAAAGAAGGATGGAGGTGTATGATCTTATGAGGTGCAAGGCTAGGATGTATTGTAATGTGAGCTTAAAGGGTAGTGATGATGTAGAAATCAATGATAGAGGATTACCAATGATAGGGATGACTTTGTTTTTGAGGGAAGGGCCAAGGTCTTTTAAGAATGAAACAATTGTGGCTGAAATCTTTCAGAAAGAGTGGGCTAAGATGGAAGGTTGCCGGGTTGTGGTGGGTCACTCCCATAAT